GTGTCAACGACAAGGGGCCGCAATTCGTCGCGGAAACGACGATTTTACGAGTGGCCTGTAAAAATTCGTAATTGAGCTGTCGTCGGCGAGCGGCCGAACGGCTCGTAAACCCGGAACACGCCGACCGCCGTTTTATCTGCTCGCCGTTCGAAGAGAATTCCAGACGCACCGTGTCGCCGAAAACGGAAGCCGCGATGAAAAAAAGAGAAAAAGGGCGCCGTGGTTCCGCGCTTTTAAAAGCGTCGCCGACGTTTACCGCGGCCGCGTTTCCCCTCCGCGTCCATTGAATCCTCGCAGTTGACGAACGGAGTTTCCAGAGTCGAATTCACGCGGGGCTATCGCGCGCCACGGGTCAGTTGGATTCAATCTGTTTGCGCTCCCTCGATACGTTTCAGTGCATCTGTCTCTTCGATGTTTTCAGGACGCAGCCTGTGATCGATTAGCGCCTGTGATCGTCGGTTATCTCGACGAACGGTGGACAAATTTGAGCAGCGAGCAGCGAGGAACAACTGCACGATTATTTGCCACGCGGTATCTATTCTTTATCCACGATCCTCTATATCCGCGCTCCAACGGAGAAAAATGCACCACGAACGGTGCTTTTCTAACGCGACCGAGTTTCTACAAGTTCTCCAGCGACTTACCTCGCAGAAAACTCGCGGCGCCAGTCGCGGTGAGAAACTCCCGATGATGATTCTCGTGTCCAACTCCTGTAACCGTGTAAAAAGTCTGGCTGAACGATCTTTCTGCTCGTCGGCCATTTTCCCGCCGCTCATCCCGAGCGTCGCGTCTCCTCGCGCGAGCTGATCGCGTTAGACGCGGCGAGTAATTAGTTATGAACTGTAACGAAAGAGCTACGGAAGACCGGGGCTAACTCGATTCCCTTCGCCGGCTCCTCTTACAACGATTCTTCTCGTCGGAGCGTTCGGGGCGCGGCTCGACAAAGCGTCCGAATCGTTGACATAGATCTTTAAAGCCGAGACGCCGGTATTCCGCTCCGCGGAGACCGCGGGAACGGGCAGCGTGTTAATCCCCCGCGCCCGGATGCCGAGTTTGAATTCTTTTTCATGCGAACCCTCGGCGCTCCGGCCGCGACACGCCGCCGGTGAATGCGGTTTAGCAAGTAAAATTCTCGGCGTCGGGAACGGCGAAGCCGTCGCGTAACTATGCGCGTCAAGTGGTAGCAATCCACCGCGGAGCTCGTCGGAAAAATTCAATGAAGTTTAAAGCTTTAGGCGTGTCTTACTTTTAAAGTCCGCAGCTGTTCTTTGTAATCGTTCTCCGCGAACGTGATGGTCGCCGTGCACGTGATATTCGCCTGCTCCAGTTCCGTGACTAGATCGTTCACAGCCTGAAAACAGAGACGCGGCCGCGACTCGTCATCGCGTTATGCAACTTTCGGACAGAGCGGAATTTCGCGTGGAACGTACCTGCTTTGCGCGTGCATATCTGAAAATTCACCCGCGCACCCGGGGGCGACTTTTTAACGAAATTACTCGGCCGCGCGTCGCGCGCCGCTGGCTGGCTGGCGGCGACGGCGAGCAGACCGCCGCACGCTCGATTGAATTTCCGCATCGGTTACCGTATCGGGTCCCTTCTACTTACCAGCGAGTACATGTCGCCTGTTTGCGACAGGGTCGTGACCGTGTCCCAGCCGAAATGCTTGATGAGAGCGATCCTCGCCGAATTGTGACTCGAGTCGGGCGCAACGGTCCGCAAGAACAGCGGGAACTCGGTGGTATCCGAGAGAGCAGGTGCGGTGGATCCGAACGAGACTTGGGTCACGTTCCAGTAGGGCACGATTTTCGCCAAGGTCTCCGTAACCTCGGAGCAGGCGGTGCCCAGCAACAGCGGTATCAGATCATTCTTCTTCGCCGAGTAGAGAGCGTGGAAGAATCTATCAACCGCCACGCCGGGATCGCACTGAAAATAAATGAATTCAGGACGCCGGATCGCGTGCAACTTTGATAGTTTGATAAATCGGTTCACCCGCCCCGCGCGGATATTACGGGAGCTACGCTAGGACGAGCATCGACGCATCGTTCGACGGACCTCGAGGATACCGGCCAATTGCCGGTCGCCACGTAATCCGTAACGTAGAGCGGAGGAGGAACGATCCTACTTTCGGCAGATTTACGTGTGTTTGCTCGAGAGATAACGCGAGGGGAGACAGGAGAAAGAGAAGCCAAAGTCGTGAGTCTTAACGAGCAATTATTCAAGGCGGACGGTGACGAGGGTGGATAGCTCGCGAAAAGCGCACGAGGGCTCGTCTCGTATCGTGGAATCCGACACGATGTCGCGCGGTGCTCCTAAATATCTGAAATCTCTCTGAAAGCTCGAAATACACTTCGATCGAACCTGATCTCTGTACTCGACGGTTTTTCGCATCGATGATTACAAATCTCTTAAAGTTTCGTACGTCATGTATATATCAAAAAATCGTTAGTACCGAAAAATTAACATTGCAATGTCTTTCGTTTCTCTGATTACGAATCTACTAATCTACTACATTTCTCAGTTGCAAGACGTCGTAACTCTCTTAGGCAATTTCGTAGCAACATTCTACTTGCTCCCAGGAATATCATCCATTCTACAGAATTCAGTTCGATTAATTTATTCCAAAGTCATTCTCTTTATACTTCCTATGAAGTTCCACTTAATCACACTACGACCGTACGACTAATAACAGCGATTTTTGAAGCTCAGTGCGTCGATTACAGTGCGTCAGCTCGAGGTAAGCTACAGATTTACCGACCCGACTTTCCTCGAGTCGCGCCGCGTTTCCCCCCGATTTTCAATCGTCCCGATACGCAGCTGCAAGTTTCTTCGGGGCAACGGTAACTTCGTTAATGACCCGCTCCGAGAAAACCGAATCGCCGTGCTTCTTCACCGGAAAGGATCTTCGCTCGGGAACATCCTTTGTTTCGCGTGGCCCGCGGCGACCGCTCGCCTCGATTCCAGCCATCGATAGTCCGGCAGAAAACCGTCTCGCCGATAAAACGGCAGCGCCGGCGATCGCTCATGCGCCGAATTCAATCTTCCCCGCTCATCCGTAATTTCGGCTCCGCGTTTCCCGTTACACGGGCAAACGCGCCGCGACGTTTAACTCCATTATCGCGCGCCGTCGTGAGTTTCAATTGCAGCCGAGGTTTCTGCCCGAATTTCCTCGCGTTCCGCGCACCCGGGCGGATACGTATGCGCATAGAAATAGGCGGCTGCTAACGAGACCGAGTAATAATTCCTATAAATATTGTTACCCGGGACGCTTCATCAAGGAGAACGGGCGAGGCGGAAACGAGAGAGATTCCGCGTCGCGCGGCGCGAAATACTGGGGAAATCGTGGCGTTCCGACAAGACGCAGGCTCGATAACGGCGTGCAGACGTGCTTAATAATATTAAACGACTCTCTCGGAATCGGGCGAGTAGCCGACTTTCGATCGGTTTTTCCCGAGCATCGAATATCATCCGTTTCCCGCCGCGATCGCCGGGAACGTGACCAGACTGCCGCGCGACTCCCGATCGGAGAACAATTTGTAAAATTGCTTTTCCACGCACGGACGTCGAGTTTCCGGAAACTTCGTCGGGATCCCCGCGGACCGAGGAGGAATCTGTATCAACGCGGAGACGATTCCCCGTGTCTCGGAGTCATGGCTTTCGGTTCGGCCGGCCATTGTGCGCGACGTCTGGGAGCGGAACAGGGGAACCGATGGAACAGAAAATTGCCCCGGGCCAGGAGATTCCTTAGTTAGCAATCGGAACAGCGCGGCCGATGAGAAACAAGCTACGGCTCCTGATGGGAGAGCCGGCTGTCTGATTATACCGTCTTGCGCGGCGGAACGTCGCCGTAAATTCGTCGGGTCGCTATTCTCTTATGTACGGTATCATTCGAGGCCTGCTCGTCATACGAAAAAAAGCGGGCTCCCTCCCCAACGTTCTTCCGTTACCGGGAACGGAACACGCATTCACGTCTCGTTGCTCGGACATAATGTTCCCATGCGGAACGAACAATCTATTTTATTGTCAAGCGAGAGGAGGAATAAAAGTTTATGGTCCTGAAAATGGGACGATCCGATGTATCGGGCGGGAACGGCGAAGGAACGTCGTGCCGCGCGATTTCTTCGCAACAAACGATTCCGCGGGCGAAGGCGCGCGCCCGCTCGCGAGGGATCCGCGCCAGGATTACTCGTTAGTCGACGGAAGCGCGGCCATTACTTGTCCTATGGCGATCAGTTGACGCGGAACGGATCGCGCCGACGGTTCGGACGAACAAACGCCGGTAATACGAGCGTCGAACTTCGAGGGAACAAGTTCCGCGCCGGGCGTGCGCGAGCTTCGCAACTTTAAACGAACGCGGAGGTTTTCACCGATGCGTTGTTCCCGTTAAGCCACGCGGAAGCTCTTACAAAGCTCGGAGAAAGAAACTGCCACGCTTTATGCTCCCGCGACGCGTGTCTGCAGCTACGTAACGATTCCGCGGAAGTTTCGCAGGCACTTGGGCGGACGCCGGACCATGATCGCTCGTAACTACTTACGACCGAGTCGGAGTTCGCCCGTGGCAACCGGTGATAGAAGGGAATCGAGCGCGGCCACGCCGACGTAAACCGTCGCGTCGTTAGAAAGTTTGCGAAACGCTGATGCAACGCGCCCCGTGTAAACTGGCATTATCGCGGGAATGACGAACGCCGCCGCCGAAACACCGGGGAACGCGGATAAAGCCACGAGAATCATGCGCGACTCGCCGAGCAACAGCGACGGTAACGCCGAGTGTAACGGGGCGTGCTTGAAAAATCGGTTTCGCGCGAGTTGACGCTTTAATTCGAAAGTTATCTGGCCCGCGGAGCGGAAATGTTGCGCACGGTTCGCCGCAACTTTGCTGCCGCGATACATCAATGCGGAGAGAATTAAAGTCGGCGCGGCCGTCCGAGCTGGCCGGCGAGCGGCCATTTGTACGCGCAAGTCGGCCGATCCGCGGGAGAAGGTTTCCCTGTAGAAAAGAGGGGACGATACGTCGAACGTTCGGGCAGACGGGATCGCGGTCACACGGATTTACGACGCGGCTTTCGCGCGGCCCGCAAGTTTTGACAGTGTAATCTTGAATAAGCCAACTTCTCGGCCAGGGTTAACGTTTCCGTGCCGCGGGACGCAAGTTCGCGCTGCCGGAGGATTACACCGTAGAAAGGCGGAAGTTCGTACACGCCGACGTCATTCGACGGTTTCGAAGCGCTGTAGTTTTTAGTGGTCCACGCCTGGGAACTTCCCCGTGTGAGCTTAACGCACAGCGTGGAACCCATTAGCATTTTCGCGTGTTATCAGACGCGAACATCCCGCCGAAGACGCGGTAAATGTCGAAACTCGATATTTCGCGGAGCGGTTGACATTTAGCTGCTCGACGGCTCGGATTACGTCCATGGAACGTTGGTTACGTTCATGGGACACCATGATTCTCGGTGACGTCTAATATCGCGGCTGCCTAAATGTTACCCCGACGGTGACGCGCAAACCAGTTCACTTTTAGAGCTTGTTAAATCCCATTCGGACGCTCCGCGAACCACTTAACGCGGCCGCGTGGCTAGGGAATGATGGCCGAGGGAGAAAAATTGCATCAAAGCGGTGTGTTCTCATTAAACGTTTGCTCGCGTGGGCGTGCGCCGGCGTCTCTCGCGGACACCTTGGAACGGGGAACATCATTTTTCATTTCCTGAAGGATTACCCTAACGCGGCGAACGAACGAGTCGCGCGCACTCGCCCGCCCGTATTCCTGGAGCTCGTATTCCTTCCGCTCTATTTTTTCGACCGATTCCGAAATCAATTTCAGATGACTTCGCCAGCACGTCGTCGCCGGGGAAGCTTTTTCATTTCCCTTCCACGGGAGAGATACGCGTGTTATATCGCGTCCCCGGGACTTCGTTGCTCTTATTATCCGCGCGTCGTTTATTTCGCCGTGACACCGACGCGTTCATCTGTTTCTCGTCCCGCCACGGTGGTCCCCCGGCGCTGAAAGTTTCGCGATGTCCAACGGATTGCTGATCGCGCGCGGGAAGCCTTCCCCGATATCAACTCTGGCCGCTGGTTAACTACCCGCGACGAATCAATTCCGAATGCGCGGTCGATCGTCACGTATTCGCGTGATTGTCGCGTCGTCCTCGCTCGCCGCGCGTTACGGCATCCTCGAAAAATTAACGGCCGGATCGATCGCCCGTAATCGCGCGCCTCCTCGCGAATATTCGCGAAACACGGAGACGCCGCGGCGAATGTATCGCGACTATTTGCAATAGCCGCGCTCGGCGCGACGGGAATGAGAGATCGGGAGGAATGATGGAGCGCTTAAGCGACCGATACAAACGAGCAGCATATTTTTCGCGCGCTGACCTCGTCTTCCGGCCCTATTCTCGCCGTTCCTCTTTATCTAGTGAAAATGCAGATAACACACAATATCGTGGTCGTTTGTCAACTGTCGCGGAGCCCCGGAACCCGCCGTAGACGCTTCCTTTTCCACTTGTTCCGCGTCTGCTCCGAGAGGATAGATACCTCGTCGCAACGTCGAAGGAGGAACGCTTTTGAAAGGGATCAAACTGGCCAAGGCGAGTGCACGTTAAATGGACGAGTTACTCGGAGGTAATTGGAAAACGCGGAACGCCGCGCCTGTAACCCGATTCATCTGTCTCCATTCCGCTTTGTCCGTCGCCGATGACTGGCGTTCACAGAGACAAAGCGGGCCCCAATGGAAACCGATGAATAACTTCGCCGATAAGATGCTTCTGTCTTATTCAATCTCCTCCAGCGTTTTAACCGCTGCCGGCCTACGCTCGCCGAGACACCGCTGGACGAGTTTCCGCGGCGAGCTCCACTATTGCTTCCCGTGAATTCAATTTCCCAGCCGAAAATGCTCGTTAACGAGATCAGACCCGCGCCCCTCTCGGCGA